CATTATTTCTATTTAGTTAGCACTTAGCAAATTCAAAAGTATTCTAATCTAATATTCTGGGGCTCCTAGTTGCAAACTACAAACATTTCTGACAGCTCAGAGCAATCTTTAGCTGCAGCCTCTCTCTGGTGTTCCCACAAACTATTCAGCACTTGATAGGGCTGAAGGGCTGGGTCTCCTATGAGACAGAGCAATACATAGACCAGCCGTGGGCAAACTACGGCCCGCGGGCCGGATCCGGCCCGTTTGAAATGAATAAAACTAAAAAAAAAAAAAGACCGTACCCTTTTATGTAATGATGTTTACTTTGAATTTATATTAGTTCACACAAACACTCCATCCATGCTTTTGTTCCGGCCCTCCGGTCCAGTTTAAGAACCCATTGTGGCCCTCGAGTCAAAAAGTTTGCCCACCCCTGACATAGACTGAGAAAGGTAGACCCCTCGCTGGCTGCACAGAGACGAGTTACCAGCAGACAGAGGGACACCAGAGGCCACAAGGGGCTCCATCTCATGCGTGTGCCTTTTTCCACACACAGTTCTATATCACATTTCACATTCAGGGTACCAGTTAACCTATGTCCTCTCCCCTTTATTCTCTCCTTTAACAACAAGGACAAAATCAAAGAGCTGTGGTATAGATTTCCTTGGGTCCACTAGACCTGCTAAGGGAGAAGAGGGAGGATGGTCACACTCTCCTCAGATGTGTTTCCTGGGCTGGAGGAGCTGCCCAATACTAGGACAAGTTTTGTATTTTTTTAAGCAATTTTCAAAAATCTGATTTTATGGACACATATGACAACCAGGAAGGAAGCAGGCTGCTAAAGCAACCTTGCTAAAAAAAATGCACCAGAAGGAGGAAGTATTTAAAAAGCTATCAAGCCCTAGCCGGTTTGGTTCAATGGATAGAGCGCCAGCCTGTAGACTAAAGGGTCCCTGGTTCCATTCTGGTCAAGGGCACATGGCCAGGTTGCGGGTTTGATCCCCAGTAGGGGACATGCAGAAGGTAGCCGATCAATGATTCTTTCTCATCATTGATCTTTCCATCTCTCTCTCCCCCTCTCCCTTCCTCTCTGAAATTAATAAAACTAAATAAAGAATAAATAAATAAATAAATAAATAGCTATCAAGATGAGTGTTTAATAACATACATGGCCCATAACATTATTTTTTAAAATGTCTTTATTTATCAACTACTTAAAACATCAGATTATCAGAAATATAAATCTGTGTTAAAAAGCAATTTACATTAACATTTATGGCACGATTATGTACAACCATTGTCCACGTAATGATCAGCCTCATTCTCAAGACACCCCTGCCTAGGATGCTTGGTGACAAGACTGAACCAGCACAGCACTGGTCTGAATCTATGGAACTGCGTGGTCCTATCCACCCTTAAATCAGGGGTGCAGAAGAGTGAACCCCTCTACCTATGAGGTCCCTTCTATCCCAAATAGTCTAAAGCAAAATATGAGTTTATATGGAGGTGGATTGGCCTGCTGGCCTTTCTTCTCTCTTCCACATTTCCTCTCTTCTCCTCCACTTCAGCTACCCTTCATATATTTGCTTTCCTTAAAGCAATGAAAATAAAGGCCAGGAAATTTGACCTTCACTACATTCATGTGGACAAGCTATTCAACAACAGTTAAACAATGAATGAGATCCTCCTGCATCGACACGGATCGATCTCAAAGACAGGGGTGTGAGAAAAGCAAGCTGCAGAACAGTCTAGGTGGGAGAACAGCCCCAATGCAACATTTACTCATCTATTTAAATGTTGCATTAGGTGTGCCATACATCTGTCAGCTAAAAACAACTTAGGGAGATATAGAATAGAAATATAGCCCTAGGGAAGCTCACAGCTTTCAGAAAAATGCTCACCAGTGGAGAAAGGGAAGAAATGTGATCAAAGAGGAATGAAAGGGGATTTGAACTGTGTCTGCATTTTACTAAAAATTAGCTGATGCCCTAAAATAATTTTTGACCTTCCCTGATGCGGGAGTGATCCTTGCCTCTCGATGCCTACCCACCCACAGCTCAGCTTCTCAGACAGAGCCCGTACCAGACCTCGCCCAAGATTCCCAGAGCTGGTCCTGCTCTGGGGCCTCTATGTAGTGATTGGGAAGAAAACCTATTCATGCCTCAGCCCAGTGCACACCTTTCTCTGAACACAAACCTGACAGCCCTATGCTCAGGTGATAACCACATGGTCATGCTGCTCGTCCCACTTAGGATTTTAAATGTTCTCTCTCAGTGGAGCAGTCTCTTCCTGGCTCAAACACAATGGTCTTGCTGGGTTCTCCAGAGGGTGACTAACTGTCCTGTTTTGTCTCAGACTCAAGTTTTTCATTTGAAATGAGTTGGTCACCCTGTTCTCTAAAGCTTTCCAGAAAACATCAACTACTGCCTACAGTTTAACTAAATTCTAAGAACAAGAAGTAGACCAAGAAAATACACCTGTGAAACAAATATTTTTTGCTGCAAGCTAAAATTTTGTTGTTGTTGTTTTGTTAATCCTCACCTGAGGATATTTTTCCATTAATTTTTAGAGAGAGGAAGGGAGGAGGAGTGGGGGAAAGAGAAAGAAAGAGGGGGGAGAGAAACATCTATGTGAGAGAGGAACATTGATTGGTTTCCTCCTGTACACGTCCTGACCAGGCCAGGGATGAACCTGCAACCCAGGTAAGTGCCCTTGATCAGGAATCAAACCTGAGATCCTTAGGTGCGCAGACCAATGCTCTAATCACTGCGCAACACTAGCCAGGGATGCAGTCCAAGTGCCTAAACTCTTTTACAGCACCTTTCATTGACAACAAACTAGTTTGTTCTGGTTTGCTAATCCCATTCTATCAAGTCAGGGAAGGAGGCATTCCTTTCCAAAGTCCTCAGCCAACTGTTAGGAGTCTTCACCCTGAATATTTTGTAACTGGTTCATTCACTAGCCATACTCTGGGTCCCTTGAAAATACACTCAGCGTAGTTGAGTTTATTAATGGGAGAGGAGAGAAATGGCCTAAACCAACAGCATTTTCCAGAAAGCAGATTAGTATTTTTTAAAGGAGAAAAAAAGAAGAAAATAATTCTCACAAGTGATTGAAACTAAGGATCTACTTGGAAAATTAAGAAGCTACAGCCCCCGGGCAGATCCCACAGAGCCTCTCAAAGTGTGGGGTTCACTGCTCACGGGGAGGAGGGCCCCACTCAGGCCTGGGTCACAGTGGTGTTTGTAAAGTCTTCATTTACTGCAGAGGATAATATACCCCAAACACTTAGCATCTATAAGATGTATAAATCACCGCAATTCACGAGAAATGCAATCTGCTGCCCACAGGTATTCATCAGGACTGGCTGGCAAAATACCTGGGGCTTACTAACTGTGTTGCAGTGGAGTCTACAGCAGAGCTTCTGCAGGGAATGAGGTAAACCTGCATGGCTGCATTAAAGGAGCACACAGTGGGTGCACTGTTCGTTGAATGATAAAAAGTATAGATTAGAGCAAGAGTGGCATGTATTTGAAAACTACCAACTCTTTTGTTGAGCCTGAAAGTAACAGCAATTGTTTTATAGTTTGATCAAAATATTGGATGTTTAAATATCTGTACTTTTTCAAAAACAAACAAGTAGTCAGGCTTATGTAAGCAAGTGGATATCTTAGTGATTCTATAAAAAGATGTATTTTGGAAAAGCCCAGTTTTGTATTTCCCTAATAATTAATGATGAACATGTCAAACCATTATTGGCATGAGGAAGCATATAATATACAAAATAAGCAAAAACAGCCCACTGAGTCTGCAGTTATGCAACCCGTGAAATTCCGTCATCATCTTTCCTAACAGAGTTCACCAAATCAAAAAGCACTGGCTCCTTCTCTTAGTGTTGTCATGGATAACTCGCTGATAGCCAAACAAAACAAAGAGGATAAGAGGGGAAATGTCACTGAGTTTCCAAAATATAGCTTTAGTACTTGGATTGTGGATTTTTTTTCTTCTTTAAGAAAAAACAATTTAAGCAATAATTTCTAAAGAATATGACTAAGGACAAAAGAATCATAATCAATCACTACTAGATTGTAGGACAGAGATAAAAATGTAGTACCCAAGTGGATCTGAATCTAAAGGCAAGGGAAACAAAAGGAAAAATAAACAAATTGATTACATCTAACTACAAAGCTTCTGCACAGTGAAAGGAAACCACCATTAAAATGAAAAGGCAACTTACTAAATGGGAGAAGATGTTTGAAAATCATATATCTGACAAGGGGTTAATAGCCAAAATATATAAAGAACTCATACACTACAAAAACATAAAAACAAGCAACCAGATTTTAAAAATGGGCAGATAATCTGAATAGACATTTTTTTCCAAAGGAGGCATACAGATGACCAACAGGCACATGAAAAGATGTTCATCATTAATTATTAGGGAAATACAAAACAAAATCACAATGAGATATCACCTCACTTCTGTTAGAATGGCTATTATCAAGAAGACCATAAAAAATGCCACAGAGAATTTAGAGAAAAGGGAAGCCTTGTACACTTTTGGTGGGAATGTAAGTTGGTGCTGCCACTATGGAAAGTAGTATGGAGATTCCTCAAAAAATTAAGAATAGAACTACCATATAACCCAGCAATTCCACTTCTGGGTATTCATCTGAAAAATACAAAAAACACTAATTTGAAAAAACACATGGTCCCTATGTTCACTGCAGCATTTACAACAGCCAAGAAATGGAAACAGCCTAAGTATCCGTCAGTGGACAAATGGAAAAAGAAGATGTGGTATATTGTTTAGCCATAAAAAAGATAAAAGCTAAAATTTTGCCATGCACTATAACATGAATGGACCTTGAGGGTATTATGCTAAGTGAAATAAGTCAGATGGAGAATAACAAATACCATATCGTTTCATTCATATGTGGACTCTAAAAACAAAAACAACCAAATAAACAAAACCAAACAAAAACAAACTCACAGATTCAGAGAACAGATTGGTGGTTACCAGAGAGGAAAGGTGTTGGGGGGGCTTGAATTGGATGAAGGGTTTCAATTGTGTGGTGAAACATGATAACTAAACTTTTCGGGGTGATCACTCACTTTGTAGTGCATACAGATGTCAAATTACAATGCTGTACACCTAAAACATATATAATGTTATGTAGCAGTTTTATAAGGATAAAAAAAAGTACTACTCAGGGTAGTCCTAATGCTTTTTGGCTCAAGAAGATAGTAACCGAGTCTACCAACTGGCTTCCAGGGGCACCTGAGAGGGAAGCAAACAGGGCAGAAAGAATGGCAGGGCATCGGGGCTACCTGGGGTGAGACCCAGGCCAATTGGGGAGATGGGCCACCCAAAAGCTGGAGGCACTGTGGCCCAACCTCAGTCAAAGACTCCTTTCTTTCTATAAGCAAGCATTTTCTACAGCAGGAATATCTCCTACATGTATTAGTTTGTTTCTTTTGTGAGCAGAGTAGCCTCAAATTTAGATTTTACTTCCCTGAGAAATAATACAACACTTAAGTGCTTTCATCACTCTATTAGTGGTCAACACTGAAACACAAGTTTTCTCAGTCTTCAAGAAATAATCCCCATCAAATAAAATATAGCATTTCAGTGAATGTAAACACACCCTTTGGTTAATTTCACAGTTATCACCAATGTTGGCAATCTACGGGAGACCCTCAAGACAACCATCCGTTATTTTGGAATAAGCTTGACTGTCAATCAGATGGAGCTGATTTTCTACACATATTCCTGCTGAGATTCTTCTCAAGTGTCTTCAAAAAACAAAAACAAAACAAAACGAGGGGGTTCAATCAGCTGTGCGGTCAAAGTCAGATATTTATAATGAAGCAGAATCACTGGACGTTTCTCATTCTTGAATGGAGGAGTGGCGAATGGATCTGTGATAATCCTCTGGACTGCTCATGTGTTCAGGTAAATCATAGCCCCTTAGGAAGTGTCCACTGTTTTGCTGAGCGAAATAATAGAGCTGTCTGGCCAGTAGAGGTTCAACCTTTAAAAAGGTTTGAAGAAGACATTACTAAGATATTCTTTTTAACATCCTGTAATTGGCTCACCATTAAATAACTCAATATATGTAAGAGTGTAATAAAGTTAAGTCTAAATTAGGTGTTATAACATAAAAAAATTTATACTTGGGGCCTTCTGAAGAACCAATTTTTGTTCATCTTTCATACATCAAGCTCCAAACAGAATCTACTTAATTATGCGTTTCAATTGAAGGTAAAGATGATACTTTTAAATAATCTGTCGTTAGAAATTTACATTTAACTGAGACTGCAACAAATCAGGTAAAATGACCAAATTAAAAGGAAATTTGAGGTCATATTTAGTGAATTTAGGCCACTATGACAAGGATGAAGGGGATCATCCTGAACAGTCTTACAATTCCAGGATGACCTAGACCAGTGGTTGGCAAACTGTGGCTCGTGAGCCATATGCGGCTCTTTGGCCCCTTAAGTGTGGCTCTTCCACAAAATACAGACTTCAGCGTACGGGTCACGAAGTTTCAATCGCACTGCACATGCGTGCCTGCATGTGATATTTTGTGGAAGAGCCACACTCAAGGGACCAAAGAGCTGCATGTGGCTCGCGAGCCGCAGTTTGCCGACCACTGACCTAGACCATCTGTGTTTCTTAACTAAAGAGAAAAGAAAAAGAAGCAACATCATCAACAAAATTGCTATTGTGGAAACATTTACTTGTTCCCAAATTAATCTAATTTGGCTATTAGTGTGATTGCATTCAATATTAAAATTTAATTTTCAGCTTTTCCTAAATTTACAGCATCTAAAAACACCAAGTGCTTTCAGTCAATGGTGCTATTAAATTGAGCCTTTATGTTATTTGACATACAGAAATTAAGCATACTCATATGAAGAACCGAAAATAAATTAAATCCATAATAAAAGGAATAGGATCTCCTGGGCACCCCTCCCCCCCACCCCTCAGTCCTTTGTGGCACCACGGGGTACAAGGTGACTTCAGGGGTCTTCGCCTGGAGAGCCCTTCCTTGCCTAATTATAGGAAAGCTAGTGCATCCAAAACCCTTAAAGTCAGGTTGATGTGGGAGTTCGTCACCAACTTCTTAAATGTTATTTATCAATGCCCAGTTTAGTTCGGCATTTAACAATTCCAGTTGTTTACAAGATTATATCAGTAATTATATCAATCATTGGCGAGGATTCTTGAGAAACATCTGAAGTCCATAGGATTATATTTTTGTTTATTGGTTGTTTTGTTTTTCATTTTACAATCAAGAAGGGGGACTGCATGTTTAAGATTAGGATAGTGTTTTATTTCAGTTTTTAATGAGAAACATTATCAGAACTAAAATGTGACCTGAATTTTTATATTATTTGGTATAATTTTTTACCTTCGCTGTTTATTATTTGGGCCCATTAATAACTCTTGAAGGTATGTAGCGATGCAATGCAAAATTTTCAAATTCAAAAGTCCTAGGTATTCAAAACTCTTTTCTGGGCAAATTAATGCTAAATGTTATCAATATAAACCTCTTTTTCTTTGTTTTTTATGAAACAGGTGTTTACTTGCCACAGTTGAACCCATCTTAAATTCGGCCTCAGGATATTGCAATGGTCTGATCTCCCTGTATTCCTCCAAATATCATTTGGCTCTTGTTTCCAATAATTATAATTTTTAAAAAACAAAAATCCAGAAATAAAAGGATTTGGGAAACATTTGAGGGAGCTACAAAATACGCATTTGGGGAAAACTCCATCAAATAAATATCAGACAGCATTTTGATTGCAATATTAAACTGAAGAATTTTAAAGGACAACTTTTAGCATCAATCCTTTTAAATCCTTATAAAATGGAACTATGACAATTTCCTTGAAAAATAAAAAAGAGGAGACAAATTAAATGGTTGGGAGTTAGCTTCCTTTCTGAGGAGTGGATTTCCAAGACTGGGAACAGGATGCAGTCTTGGGGCTGCTCTCCTGCAGGTTCACTGGGTTACAGCCCTCCCTCCCTGTTTACTTTTCATTTGAGACTTCTCTAAATTGACCCCTGTCCTTGGTGAAAAGTAGGGAAACAATCATTTAAATGTGACTAAATACTCACGTGAGCAGTAATGAGCTTCCTTTGTCTTTGGGGATCCGGAAACTCTTCCCCAAAGCACAGAGTTACCTGGAATCTTGGCAGCGGACGGCCATGATGAGCAAATGCTTGCAGTTCTGAAGAAACCCCATAAGAAAAAAAATAAATGCTCAGAAACTCTCATCATTGAGCACACCAGGTTAAAACAGGCAGCAAAAGCTCCATGTTGATTCTTAAGACTAAAACAGGAATGAGTACTCTTCACTTCTCTAAGAGGGGCTTTTAGCCCAGATGCAAAATTGCATGTACCTGTTCCTATTTGTGCTTTCCTGAGAGGGTGCAGGTCTCACTTGATTCTTCATGGGAATAAGGCTTGGAGGTTAAGAACCTTGCTTTGTAGTACTGAAGCCATGAGGATGCAGAAGGTAGCAGAAAGGAGTGAAGGAGAAGAAAAAGGAAGAGAAATATAGCCATGTGGAGCCAAAAGAATAATTTATACAAAGAATAAGTTTTCTTTTAAAACAATCAGAATTTTCTGGCTACTTTCAGGATTACTTAAAAACCTCTTCTCAAAGCTGCTGATACAATCCATTGTCTGTCACCCAGGACTCTGTGTGACTTGGGTACCACAGATGAAGGTCTATCACCATCCTGGAGACTGAGCCCAGTTCTGGGCAGTGGCATCCCACTTGGCACAAGGCCCAAACTGTGTGACTACAGCAGATTTTTCGCCTGCTTTCTGGGACAGACGATGGTCTGAGATGGGAAGGGTAGCCATGAAGACTAGGGGCTTCCACCTACCCTAAGGATGCAAAATGGAGAACAGAACACTGTTGGAAAGATGTGTTCAGCCTCTGGCATTGAGCATGTCACCCACATTCAAGGTAACTCTCATGCCTCTAGTTGCTCCTGTTCTTTCCGCTAGACTCAAATGTCACTTCTGTCAAAGAAGGGCGCGGACAGTCTCTGCCGTGACTTCTGTAGAACAGCACCTTTGCATCTTTATCAGATCCACACCCTGGCAGTGCCTCTGGGGCTGTCCCTGGCAGCCTGCAAATCCTGAATGGTTAGATAGCAAAGATTTCCACTGCTCTCTTCAACGGAAGAGCAGATTCTAGCTAACTCACTGGACTGACTTCCTGCTTGTTTTTTTCTTCCAGAATTCAAATGAAACCTCACCAACTTAGGATGTATAAAAGGCATTTACACCACAGAGGCCTAAGATTACACCTCCACAAGCTCACTAGGATGGCACATTGGTATAGTCCTGCCTCCTTGGCCTGAAGGCGCCATGTGATTGTGCAGAAGCTGGTCTACTTGGCTTGTGACTATAGGCTCCTCCCTGCACCTCAGTGAACACTTTCAGATAAGAGCTTGCTGTGGACAGAAAGCACAGCTCTGGAAGAAGGGAAAAAAACAGAATAATCCTTGCTCACAGATAAACACTAAATTCTAGGCAAGTGAATTTGCAGCCGAGGATGCTGACAGCTGGAACGTCATACCTGCCCCTTGTTGCCTGCATCCACCTCTCAGTTCACTGTGACTCAAAGAGGAACTTGCTGCCTCGTTAGAATGAGAGGCCTCTACCTTCCTACAAGGTGCCTTGTGAGAGAAACTCAGAGAAGAGCCATTTCCCTCGGTGCCTTAATGAAAGCCTAGCCCTATGGTAGCTTTTGGATCCAAAGAGACCAGGATCCACAGTCTTGGAGGAGATCCAAACCCAGCAGGTGCATTCAGACCCCACTCTCAGGACTCCACCATGATCACCATGCTGGGCTCTGGACAGAGAGAATCCTCACAGTTCTGCAGCTCGGTTAGGAAAGGTTGTTCAGACGCAGGTGGTTTGTCACCCAAGGTGCTGCCTTAGGGAACCTGACACAGTGCTCCCTCTTCCTGTCACACCTCTGTGGCAGGGTTAGTCATCTAGGGAAACACTTGTTTCAGCACCGAAAGAGAATTTGAATGAGCCTAAGCGAATTTGGGCAAGTTAAACCTAAAAAGTTGAGCAACGGTTAATGTGCCAGAACATTTTTATTGCAAATGGACTGACTTAAGAGGAACGTTCAGGGAAAGGAGGGGCACAAGAAAACCCGAAGACACAGGTGTTTCCAAAGGGGGCACTTTTTAAAAAAATTGGTTAGGGCAAGGTAGAGAAAGAATTGGTAATTAGTGCAGGTTACAATAGCTTTCTCCCTCCCAAAGAGGCAGCGTCCATATAGATGGCCACATGAACACTTCAGATGAAACTTCGGTAATAACTTGGCCAGCAGTTTCACAAAAGCCAGCCCAGGGCTAACTTAATTGTCATGAAATCAAAACTAGGAAAACAAAACTTACTGGTTCTGGAAAATATGATTTGAGACATACATATATAGAAGAAGCTCAAAGCCTTCTTATAATTTCCCTTCAAAATCAGTTCAACACACTATCCTTGGTCCCATCTGCACATCTCATAACCAAGAATGTCACCAATATACTTCTCACAGTTACATTTTTCCTACGAACCTTCAAAGAGCTGAAATATCCACAGATGTGCCTGCTCAGATTATACTGCCAATAAACCAAGAACCTTGCTACTAGGTGACTACTTGTTGAATTCCAGAATTTCAAACCATGAGCCTGAACCACATCCCCCTGAGCAATCACCCTCCTCTTCATACGCTTCTGCTGATGGAAAGGCGCTGGTGGTAAAAGGAGAGGTGAGATGTGAACCAAACAAGAAACCTCTTCTGGGATCAGGATTAACAGAAGGAGACCTCTGTCTGGGCGAGTGACCTGCTGTTTTTGACCACTGTGGCAGACAGGCCAGCACCACCTTATTCTCTCTCTGCAGGCTCACGGGGCTGAGGCACTGCATTCTAACCGATAATGAGGTGCATTACCTGATAAGAACTGCTGTGTGTCAAACAGCTTGCAGGTCTGATCTCTCTCCAGTTTGTTGGGCCGGTCACTGCACAATGCCAAGGGCCCGTCCCAGTAGATTCTGCTCTGGCACAGTCTTTTGGCATAGAGCCCATCAGGGGCCATCCAGAGGACCACACCTCTTTCCAAGTGACTCAGCAGTTTCTCGATGTTTTTCCTCTGACCATTGTCCTCTGGGTAGGGGAAGAGGACTTGGTCCAGGTTACTGGCATCATAGGTGTGCCCGTGGGAGATCCGACAGCCTTCGGGGCTGGCCGTGGTCAACTCTTTCACCAGGACTTCCCGGTAATACAAGCAGATGTGGAGTCGGCAGTCTGCAAACACAGAGCATTTGGGGTCAGTGCTAAGGGACCAAGAGCATTGCACACCCCTCATGATGCCAAACTACCATCCAAAGTACAGTATTTGGTGGGACACTGCTGCCCAAGATACTCCATAGAAAGTAAAAAGTTCCAGTGTCTAGGAAGTCTGAGATCTGCATGCCTTTCTCTCACTCCTGGAGATTCACAGACAGTGAGATGATAGAAAAGGCCCACAAGTCAATTGGATGTTGTCTAACTCTGCATTTCCCCCATTTATGTGAGGGGGGATTTTGGGGGGATTGAGGGAGCATAACTTTCATTAATTTTCAAAAAAATAGGTTTGACTATTTTTAGAGAGCACCACAGTAAAGAGCTTCCTCTCTCTCTCTCTCTCTCTCTCGGTAATGGTGATGTCTAAAACACTAAGTCATGTACCACTGAACAAAAATTAATCTTTAGGCATAACAATCAGTTTTGATTTTGGAGAAAATAAAATCCAAGTTTAATTTCTACTAGCAAAGAGAGTATAATGTTTCGGGGTGGGGGTGGGGCAAATATATCCACCCATCTGAAACTACCCTAAAATATCAATATGATGCCATTAGGTTAACACACACACACACACACACACACACACACACACTGAAGTTTCAGGAAGGCTAAACACTAAGTTAACAATGGTGATCTCTGGGTACTGAGAATGTGATGTTTATTTTTCATTTTTGCTTTTCTGATTTTTAAATTAGTTTTTTCACAGCATATGTACTACTTGTAAAATAAAATTAATTGATGAAAGGAAGGACTCAATAAGACAAATGTTCTCAGAGTAAAGTCTGCTGAAATCCCACTAGGCTACATATTTAAGTTTGAAAATAATTCTAAAATGGTGCTTTCTAAAACATTAAACAAGATGAACTCAGTTATAAAATTTTGCTGATTCCAGAACCTTCTTTGACTTATGACCCGCAGATTGAAAGGACCAACCTAGGATGGCAAAGGGCCCCTTAATGAAGCACAAGGACTTTGTGGATAGGTATCAGCTACCCTTGTGCAAATGTGTGGGTTTAAAAGGAATGATAATTGTAGTTGTCTAATAAATGCATTCAACTAATAAATCTGTCTTATGCATTCCAAAAACAGAAACCCACAAAACCCTCCTATTCCTCAATGTCAGGTTTTGAGACTTAACCTACATAATGTCTCAATTCTCCACTTCAGTTTCTGCTGTTGTAAACGTTGGCGGAGAGTGAGCTGGGAGGGCATACCCTGAGGAGAGTGGGCGTTGGCCATTAGAGGTGACTTGCAGGGTAGGTTTCATTTCATTATATGTCATCAAAAATCACAAGGTCACAGTGATATAAATAGCTGTTATTTCCTACTCTTCAGGCACCCACATAAGTTATAGGTGCTTAAGAAAGCATTTGAAAGTTTCTAAAAACAAACACAAACCCTTCTACTTGGAAAATCTCCTTCCTCCATCATTTAGGAACATCTAGGAAGAAGGCAGCAGCCTCATTCAGAACTTTGGAACCAAAAAGGGTGAAATCACAAAAACTCCAGCTCCCCTTGCAGAGAGAAAGGTGCCCACAACTCGTCTCCCTGAAACCTTGAGAATTTAACTGATTCTGTCACTGATTTTTAAAGCGCGAGGGGGAGCAGAGGAGAACCTGGAAACTTAAGCTTTACATTTTTTAATGTAAAAACAAATCTCATTTTAAAACAATGCAACACATTACCTAAAAAATAAATATGCACACACCACATAGTTAGTACACTTTGAGGTCCCTCCCTTAAACAGGTGGCATCTCCAAGGTGCCAGGACTCTTTTAGAAATGAAACCTTGAAAATCAAACCTAAGCCATATTTTCTGCAAAACGTATCTCAGTTCAGAGGAAGGCCTCAATATGCATGCAACTGTGATGAAGGCAAGCAGCCAGAACTAGCGTCCCCGGGAAGCTGATGAGAACACTGTTTGTGGCTAAACCTGGAAGGATGATCAGCTTTTCAAGATGAGAAGCCCTGGTGCTTTTTTCTAAGAAGGTATACTACATTGTGAGGCTGTTAGCTGAAGAGGGGCCAGGTAAATGAAACCGGGGTGTTTGCATATTCTAGGAAATTCAGATAGATGCCAATGAAGAACATAAAATGACTCATCCAGCATGTAGAATTGCATCAGAATCCTACACTGGCTTCTTGGTGCTAACTTTTCTAATGTTCCTCACCCCCAAGGTGGGGAGTCAGGAGTGTCCACACACATACGGGCACCAGCTGGAGGAAAATGAGGGCCCATGGGCTGTGCTCACCAACCTCCCCATCAAATCTACCCAAAAGTGAGGTGGGCACCGTAGGCACCAGCTTCCCTTGGGTGCCTCCAGACCGTAAGCCACACTCACCTGAGAGGGCCAAGGCTTCGGCAGACCTTATGCTTGGCTCAATGGGGATTCCAGGGGCCTGGGACTCAGGCGGGGCACAAGCATAAAAGGTTCCTGTCACCTGGCAACCTGTATTTGTAAATAAAAGTCAGAGTTTGTACACAAATAGCGAGGCCTCCTCTCCTGAGGTGTGACTATTAGCCCCTGGTGGGGGATGCACCAATCCTGGGAGGGAAGGGCTTCAGGGCCCTTTGGAGCTGACCTCTAGCTCTCCCAAAAGGCCAAGACAAGCTGAAGTCCAATGGGAAAAACTAAAGTCGAAGGAGGAAGGAGCCTTTCACAGCTTTGGAAGGAAACTCGGAACTCTCCTGCAGTAATTTTCTTCTGTCTCCTTTCCTTTCCTTTCCTTTCCTTCCCTTCCCTTCCCTTCCCTTCCCTTCCCTTCCCTTCCCTTCCCTTTCTTTTCCCTCTTTCTTCATTCCTTCTTTCCTTCTTCCTTTCTTTCTTTCTGTTAGTTATCACCTTCATCACCACACATAATTACCATTATGTCTGTGTGTGTGTGTGTGTGTGTGGTGAGAACACTTAAGATCTGCTCTTTTAGCAACTTTCAGTATCATACAGCATTGCTAAATAGTCACCACGCTATACATTAGATCCCCAGAACTTACTCATCTTATAATTGGGAGTTTGTACCCTTTGACCACATCCCTCCATAACTGATAAACAGGGAAACTGAGACTCAGAGAGATGAACTGATTTAGCCCTGTTCACACAGCAAGTTCACAGCAGAACTGTGAGCTCAGGTCTACACGAGTTCTCACGTCAAAGAGCCCAGTTAGAAGCTGCACTTTATTTAATGTCAACGAATGCTTCAAGCTATGCCTGCCTACCTGCCTTTCTGCGTAGCTCTGGGCATTGTCTCCTGACTGAAGTTATTAATTCAACAGAGCCTGATACACTGGACATAGGTCTGAATTCCAGAGACCGTTTAATGTTAGCTAATCTTCCACTGTGATCTAGAAACCCAACCCTTGCCGAAGTCATTCTTGAAAGCTAATAAAACGGAATTCTGAGTTCTTCTGTAAATATGCTACTCAATACAGATCTTAAACTTCTTCAATGCCATTCGCCGAGAGGTCTGAACAGACTAGAAAAACAGGGACTGACCAAGTATTTCCAGAACATACAAAAGAATCTGTGTGCTGATCCACTTCAAGATTTCTATTTAAATAGCTAACTCAAAATTCTAAAAGCCTGGTCCTGGCCAGATAGCTCAGTTGGTTAGAGTGTCATCCCAGTTCACCAAGGTTGTGGCTTCCATTTCTGGTCAGAGCACATGCAAGGATCAGGCAATGAATGCATATATAAATGGATCAACAAAATCAATGTTTCTCTCTCTCACTCTCTCTCTTTGTCTCCCCCACTTCCCCTCTCTCTCAAATCAACCAATAATTTTTTTAAAGTTCTAAAAGCTTGTGTTTGCTGTATTGAATACATCACATGAAATTTTCTCTTCACTTAACTAGTGCTTCTGCTGAGAGAGCTCATCTTGATGTCTGGGGACCCTACGGGCATGGAACTACAGCTCATCTAGAATGAGTAAAGTCTTTTGGGATCCAAAACCAGCACTACACACCCTGTGGAGACTGTTTATGTTACTTATTTCTTTATTCCCTTATTATCACCTCTAATCCCAAGAGCAACTACAATGGTACAACATTGTTTAAGTGAAATATACTAGCTCAATAATCTCCTGGTGCCCCTGTGGAGAGAGGGACTATGCAGAGCTGGAATAAACCCATTTTACAGATGTGTAGACAGAAACAGACTAGCAAAATTTTGTGGCCTTCAGTCAATATTAAGGAATAATCCAGGAGGAAAGGCTGCTAAAATCTACTCTTTTTTTTTCCTGAGGGTTAAAAGCAAAGCTTAAGATTATTTGGCAAGGATAAAAAATATTAACCTTTTGAACAGGTAATTTAAAAAACATAGCTAATCAGTTTGACATCTGAAACTGAATCCCAGCCCTTCACTTTCATAGAGTACATTCTGTGAGCTTGCTTCTATAAAAAATAGAGCAGTTTTTAGCTATCTGACATCATCTCCATGATGTTTAAATAAGATCTCACATAAGGTAGTTGTAAGCATAGGTCCTGGCACACAGTAGGCCAGGCATCTATAACCTTTGGCATCCTTCCTCCTAGGACCTTACCATCCCACAGGAGAGGGAACACCCTCATTCAATGTGCGATGTCTTCCCCAGCAGTTCTGATAAGGGGAGAGAATTATGGTCCACCCAGAAGGACAGAGCAGGAGAGACCAGGGCCCGTTCACCAGGTGCACTCTGCTGGGTCAGTGGCAGCCACAGCAACCTGCCCCAGCACGGTCCTCACCATTTTCACAAGCTGGGCCTTGCCAGTGGTGGCTTCGAGGTCCAAAGGTCACAGGACATTGATAAGGGATGTCAGGGTGGGGCTGGTCAGGGACGTACTCCCTCCAGCTTCGGTCGTGAGGTGGCATCATGTAGTTATGGACCTGCTAAAGAGATGAAAGCAACCAGATCAGCAAAGAGCAGTTCATGGGCATTGGAAAGGGAAGCAGATTCTTTCATATCCTCCCCAACTCCTCAGGCAATCTTTTATTTGGTGGGCAGCCAAATCGTTTTATCATCTGAAAGACCTTAGAGTGAATGGCTCATCACACTAGGTCAGTGGTTCTCAACCTTCTGGCCCTTTAAATATAGTTCCTCATGTTGTGACCCAACCATAAAATTATTTTCGTTGCTACTTCATAACTGTAATGTTGCTACTGTTATGAATCGTAATGTAAATATCTGATATGCAGGATGGTCTTAGGCGACCCCTGTGAAAGGGTCGTTCGACCACCAAAGGGGTCGCGACTCACAGGTTGAGAATCGCTGCACTAGGTGAAAACTATCCATAAAGAATCAAGAAAGCACATTGGAGACAGTGATGTAAAGTAATGACATATGTAAAGCTCTATAATATGGTTAAACCTGGTGCCAAAAGTCCCGTAAGGAAATTTGCCTTCTCTTCCCCACCAAAGTGAAGACCACAAAGCTGTAATTCACATCAGAAATGTCTAAAGAGATCAGCTGCCCCGCGGTTTCACATGATATAAAGTACTACTTCCAAAATCATCAACTTCCACAATAGGTCTGTTTCCCAGAAGATTTCAGAACCGGTAGTGGAAGTCTACACCAATAGGCAGACACATGCAGCCCTCCCCTCCTTCCAACCAACCCCGAGAGCTCACTGTGGAAAGTGAGGCATTCATTCAATGCCCAGGGATTTTGTTTAGCTGTTTGACTGATAACAGAAACAAGCTTATGCTGTTTTTTCTGTGTGTTCTCCCCAGCCTTCCCTTCCAGAAGCCCTGCACCTCCACGGTACCTGCGCTGGGAGTGAGGTGTAAGGAGTCGGCATGGTATAGGGGTGGCTCATGGTCATCTGTGGGTCCTCTAGGGTGAGCTGCTTTGCTCCTGTATGTTTTTGCAAAAGGGAAATGGCACAACGTAAAAAAAAAAAAAAGGGAACTGACATAACTAAACATCAAATCTTAGAAAAGATATCTGAGGATTTAATTCCTAGAATGCGCAAATTAGACAAATTAGACAGTTGACTAATTAGACTGTTGACAAATTAGACATTTTCCAGCAATTCCCTTGGGCCATTGTTTGACCATTCCATTAAACTGATTTCTACAAGGTCCTGCTGTGTGTGAAGGCACCTGGTGACAGAAAGGGCCCCACCAGCAAAACATGCTGCAAAAAGGTCACCTGTACGGTGTGTTACAATGCAGACTCCTGGGCTCTACTCTGACACACTGTCAGAAGGTTGGAAAGAGGGAGTCTGAATTTGAATAAGCAGCCCAGCTGACCATAGTACATCCTAAAAGTTGACATTTTTATTAATATAAATAGTAGCAATATATGAATGCATGAATGCTTCCTTCTGTGAAAGGTTAATCATGAAAAACTAATAAGTACAGCTTTGAACAAGTTCTCCATTTTCTTGTTTGGAAATTTGGCCCATAACTTAATAGACCTAACTGGAAAATACACACATGCACACACGCAGTTGTAGACGTGGAGTGTGAGAGAGTATCCTACACTAAAACCGCAGGACTTGCAATTAGTGACCCAGAGAAATCAGACAATGAACCTGCTGGGCTTGACCATGGGGCAGATGGCCGGCAAGCTATTGAAAACAAAAATAGAAAAGTGAGCTTCAGAATGAAATTAAGATGCTACAAGTGTCAGACTGCCAATATCCTGTGACGCAGATCGAGGAAGTCCCACCTTTTTTGGCTCCCTCAGGAACAATCCTGTATACTTTGTAGGGGTCTGAGATGTCCAGCTGACTCCTCTCAACCAGTTCCTCGAAGTCATTGCTCTTGTTCAAAGCACACCGTAAACGTGTCTTCCATGTGGGAGGGTCTGGCTTGTCAATGCCTTCTCGGAATTTTCCTTTAAATAGCGCCCAAGCCTGGTGGGAAAGAAGAGGGGAAAAGTTAAAATACAAGGTCTTTTAAAAAAGAATCTGGAAATTGCAATTCCAAAGGAATCTGAAGACAAGTGGTGGGAACATTCTCTAAGTATTTGTGACAGGTGGGTAAGATGTGGAGGATCCCTGGAAAAGGACCTGCTCACCCAGTTTCCGCAATGGGTTTGATTGGAACTAGGGACAGAGCTGTGTGGTGAGCTGTCAGCCAGTTTGAGGTATTCTGAGAGCAAATTCCCTGAGGAAGTCCCCTTTACCTGTGCAGCCCACAGGTGGTGGGGCTGGGCCCTAAGGCAAAGCTCACTGGGTAACTGCTCCAGGAGAAAACAATCCTGACAGGGACGCACATGCACATACACAGCAAGAGGGAGACCCAGAGAGGGGCCCAAAACAAAGATCCTGGAAGAAGAGAAATATTTAGAGGAGGAGAAAGAGAAAGAGAGAAACCCAAGAGGGTGGGGAGAGAAGAGGCAGAGAGAGAAAGACAGAAACCTAGAGAACAATTGAGGAGAGAGAGAGAGAGAGAGAGAGAGAGAGAGAGAGAGAGAGAGAGAGAAACTGAGACTGACTTGGAAAGAGGGAGTCTGGCAAACAGGCAGAGAAATAGAGAGGGAGAAATAAGGATGGAGGAGCCCAAAGAGAGATGGAACCAGAGAGTGTCCGTGCCAGAGAGTGATTGAATCAAAGAAAAAAAAAATCAGAGAGAGACAAATAGCAAAAACATAGTGAAACATGTAAACAGTTCCTGGGGGGGGGGGGGGGGGGAGTGACCAGCACACCCACGGGCGCTCACAAAGACAGAGAGACAGAGAGAAGCACAAGTTGATTAGAGGAGGCAAGGAAAGACCCAGGAGTACAGGAAGCGGCTCCCATGGAAACAGAGAAACCCACAAAAATGCAGCCAAGAACACTCCAGCTACTGTCCTGGGAAGGCAGGCGTCCCCTGACTGAGCCTCCGGTACTTCCCTGTCGCTGGAGCCTTCTGACTCCCTGAGTGCTTGCTGCTCAAGCCACACGCTCAGAATCGGACCGGCCCTCCCGTTTGTGAAATCACTAGAGAAGTGGAAACTTCTCTTCTCCCGAGGCTTCGGCCCATCCACACCTGTTGCTCCCGGGCCGCCCGCCCTGCTGCGACCACCCCATCTCGTGGGTCCCCGTGGGTTACCCTTCCCTCTTTGAACCGCGGGCCAGGGCGCACCCCGCAGGGGCTGGGCTTACCGAGGAGCCCGGGCTGGGGATCCGTCGGCTCTCTGGGGCCCTCCCCCCATCCCGACCGCGGGCTCCCCACGTGCGTGTAACCTTGAAGAGGGCGGCGTCCTCCTCGCGGTTGTAGTCCTGCTTGCCCGCGTGCTTCCAGGGGATGCGGAAGATGCTCTTCTCCTCGTTCTCCCACACCAGCCCCGGGTACTTGCCGCTGTCGATCTGGTCGATCAGCCACTGGCGGAGTTTCCCGTTGCCACAGCTCACAGAGCTCATGCCGAACTCTCCGCCTCGGCTGCCACCGCCCTCCAGGTTCATGCCCAGCGCGCCGACGGTCCTGCTCTCGCCCAGGATCTGCCTCCTGCACTGTCCGCGCTGCAGGTGAGAGGAGAGCCTCCCTGAAGCACCGCGGCACCGCGCTCAGGGTACCGATCCCAAACCACCGTGGCAGTGACCACGAGGCCCAGGGGCTCCGGGGCAGCAAGACGCGCGCTATGAGGTCGGTGTCATCACAGGTCCCTGAGAGAAGACACCTTCTCTGCTGCCGGGGCTGGTCCCCTTGGCCAGCACAAGCCTGCCTCCTCCCGAGCGCACCCTCCGCGGAGTCTGTCTTCCTACCCCACCTTGACTCTCCATTCTTGTTTCGCACCCCACAGCCCATACACACACTCCAGCCTTTGCTCACACTCCCAAATCCAGCCGCCACGCTTCTTGGCACTCCGTTTGCACACTCACTAACGGTCCCCGCTCCTCTTTGCCCATCCCGAAGCTAGTGTCAGCCCATTCCCCCTCACTGTCAGTTTCCACTCCTGCCCATTCCGCGTTTCACACTCCCTGGGTGGCGCAGGAAGGCCAGCCCCCGGCCGGGCGTCTCAGATGCTCAGCACCAGCAGCGTCGCCTGGCCTTCCTTCTCCCGCGCCCGTACTCTTTGTCCCAAAATGCCCCTGAGCCCTCGCCAGAGCGTAAGGATCAAATGGGCCCTGGGGGCAACACACAGCAGTGACCCGGCCCTGGGCGAGCAGCGCAGCCAAGTAGCGGGAGAGACCCTGGGCGCGCGGGAAGTGTCAGCCCGGCCCTGGAGGCTGGCGGAGGTGGAGGTGGGGAGGGTGCAAGGGAGGGCGAGAGGCCGGGGAGGGCCGGGTTGAGGCAGCCGAGCGCAGGCCCCGGTGCCCAAATTTGGAGCTCCTCCTCCTTCACCACCAGCCAGGGAAACACGCGCCGGAGGTCGCGGTGAGTTCGGGTCCCTTACGAACAAACGAGCAGAAGGAGCCTCAGAAGGAAGGGGCTGTCCTCCGCAGGAAAGCCTGCTGCCCTGTGTGAGTGCCTTCGACGGCCCCGTCTCGGCCACCCCTGAGGCCCTGAGAGTCTCTCCCATCTGGTCCAGCGCGTGCCAGCACCTCGCCCCGGCCCGCGCTGGGTCGACCCACAGAATAGTGGGGACACGGGAGCAGGGAGAGCCAGCAGAGATGCTCGGCAGTGGGCCGGGGTCCCTCCGCAGAGCCCGCACAAAACCTTGGGCCCGGAACACACGGGTGGACATCGGACTCCCTCAAGGGGAGCGTGCTTTCTCCCGGCTCAGAAGCTGGGGTCTCTAGCGCTGTCCTCGGGACGGTCCCCGGGAGCTCGGGCCTCTCCCTCCAGGTTCTCTGTCCCGCCAGCCTCACATTTGTGCTCCTGCCCGACCCCAGGTCTTACCTTGCCCTGGACTCGGAGCCGAGGGCAGCTGTGGGTTCCAAGTTCAAGTGGTGAAACTAAGACTCCGAGGTGCGAAAGAGGAACTTTAAGAGCTTAAAAGCCCCGCTGGGGCGGAGCCTGGGCGGGGCGAGGCCGACTGCT